AAATTAAAAAAAAACACCACCTGAAACAATAAATCCATTAAATTCATTCTAGTGACTTCTGAGTTCTGGTATTTTTAGTATGTACGGGGGTCCACTATGGGGTTTCTAGTTTAGAAAAGCACAGTCACTACTCGTTTTAGAACGTGTCCTCCTATATTTGAATAAAAAAACTCCTAAGTGCTCAAAAACAATTTATTTTTACGGTGAGGTTCATTAAAAATGCACACCAAGCAAAAACATGGAACTCAATAGGATACAACTATCTGGCCAAGGGGGGCCATTGACCCCCCTCCATATCCCACTTGGTGACGCCCCTGCAGCACAGCTAGTCGAGTTTTGAAATGGCACCACGCTGACTAGTAGTGATGTAACTGTTACTCCCCACCGATGTGAAAAAAGGTCCTAACCATTTAAAGTACATCATCACATTCAAGATGGTCTTCTCAAGATTGGAGGTCCCATTGAGTTCAAATAAACTAATGCTTTTAGAATTTTCACAAAAAAACTCATCTTTGTCCTTCTACCAGAAACACTACAGCAGAACATCGCTTTGTTAATCCTGATTGCCTGAAAGAACTGTGATTACTTTAATTATGACAGGCCAAACAGAGCCCTGAATCGCTTTTAAATCTCAGAGATGCTTAGTAAAATGAGAGAATAAACTGCTCTAAAAAAGTTTTGAGAACACATCCTTTTAAAATCCTTTACAGGCATCACTAACCAAAGGTTCAGTCATAAAATAAAACCTAATAATAATAATAATAAATGATGGTGTGGCTGTTAAAACAGATGAACCGGTGGGCATGATGACCTTGTTTTTGACTTTCATATTATCCACAGAAGCATCACGGGCTCAATRTTTTAACATGGATCATAAGGTTCATTTGAATTCACAAAGTATCACCTCACCTCTGTGAATCCATTAYCCAGGCCTGTGCTCACTCCGAGGTCTGCTTTAACAGCCGTTTATCCGCACAGACCCGGTCATAATTGGCATTCTAATAGCTGGAAAACGACACCAATAAATGCTCCCCGATCGCAGACACCACCAGCACTTTAGCATCTTTACTAAAGTGGSCTTCTTTTTTTCTCTCTTTATATCACCCAGGATCACGAAGACACCTGAATGAATGCAWAGAGAATGGCATGTTTAACCCACCCACACTCACTTCTACCATAAAATGAAGCTTTTAAATGCAAATAGCCGAGGGAGCGACTTATCGCACGTTTCACTGTCTTGTTTTAGGTTAGAGYTGGCAGCTTTTAGACACAAAATACACGAACATCTGAAATGTTTCTTTAACTTCTAGCTGATTTAAAAAAAAATAGAGTTGTACTTTAAGTTTCGAGCTCTTTAATTAATAAGACAGCTGAAATCGTCAGAAAGAGCCAAAGTCAAGTGGAATAAAAGCTGAACTTCCAATATTAGCTTAAATGTTTGAAAAATAAAATAAAGCATTTACTGGAGGTTAACGTTCCAAATCTCACCTGTGGTCATGAGGCATGGATCAGGACTGAAAGAGATCCAGGGTACAAGCCACGGAAAAATTAAGATGAGGAGCTCCGTCACACAGGGGAGCGTGGAGTAGAGCCGCTGCTCCTCCTCACCGAAAGGACTCATTTGAGGTGGTTCATCTTATTAGAATGCAGCCGCCTCCCTTTAGAGGTGTTCCGGGGACGTGTCACTTGTGAGAAAGCCCAGGGAAGACCCCAAACTCGCGGGAATGATTATGTATCCTTTCTGGACTGGGTCCCCCACGAAAAGGTGGAAAGTGTCGCTGGGGAGAGGGTGTGGACCTGTTGTTACAACTTGATCACTCACAAGCATCAAAAGATGCATTAGTTGTTTGTGTTTTTTGCTCAGAAAGGTTTTGAGCACAAAGCGGCAAAACTTTAATTCCACCTGCGACATCTTTCAATCTAAAAACTGAATTAACCCCAACTTGGTGTAAATGCAGCCATATTAAAAAGTCTCTATCTATGTGGGGGCAATTTGCAAAGGGGTTAGGGGGCTTATGACCCACATATTAACTTGATCCTGTCAATATTACCCCCCCCCCCCCAAAAAAAAAAAATTTTTTTTTTTCGAATCACATCACTTAATAATAATAAAATGAACTGGTTGGGTACGCAGCTGAAACTCGTCTTTAGATAACTTTGATCTGATTCCAAAATTTACCGTCATACATGTACGTTTAATCATGACTGCTGTAAATGACTTCTTCTGCTGCCTTTCATTTCATTTTGACTGCATGTTGTGTTTTTGTTGTTCTTTGTTGTGTATATAATTGTTATACATAAAATGAATTAAAAAAATTACACACACACACATATAAATACACATGTTTGTTTCTCGACCCCGTGGGGACCTTCCATTGACTTCCAGTCATGTTTTTTAGACTTTATTTCCTAACTCTGACCATATACTCTAAAATTAACCTCACAGAAACGTACTTGACCCTAAAACTAACCTAAACCTTGATCCTAAACCTAACCCCACACCTGTAACA